AAAAAAAAAAAAAAAAAAAAAACACCTTAATAAGACTGGAACCTTCTGTTCCTCGGCTATCAACACCTTCACCGTTTGACTGATGCGTACGGGGGCTACTGTTATTCCAACTGAAAGACTGAAGGTGTTGGCTATGATTAGTCTGAACATGTGATAACAACAGTTCCTTCTTCTCAAAACGGGCATTACAGGCAATACATAGGTAACAACGATTTTCCCTCAAATGACTGCTTATATGATCCTAAAAAAATTATCAAAAATTTTACTGCAATAAATCTGTGCAGTTTTACAGCGATAAAGTATCAGCCAAGTTTTTGACTGTCATTTGTAATTTTAGTTGTTATAATAGTTTTTAAAAATACAATTCTAAGAAATAATGAAGATAAAAAATAATTTTAAAACATAAAATAGTATGGCTGAAGAAACAAAAGTTTAATACCCGAAAACTTTTTTGAGTGGCAAAAACTCGTAAACAAATGGCACATCGATAAAGGATTTCAAGATGTTTCTCCAAAAAATGTTGGTCACACCGTTGAGTCTCAAAAAAACCTTCGTCATCACATTCGATGCAAAAAAAATTTGTCACATCCACAGCAAAATGACCGGATATATGAGAATAGCGGCTCTTCAAAAAAAAAAAATTTTTCTATTTAGTTTTTGGCATTAGAAAAGGCATAATTACAGCTGTTGTTTCTAACAAAAAAAAACAGTATAGTCAGAAATTTTAGTTCTAAGAATAGCCCAAAATTGTTGTCCTTGTTAAATGCCAAATATAAAACGGATGTCAAGATAAAATGGATTAATTAGCTGGCATCGTTTCTTATTGTAATTGCTAACATTAAGCTTTAAACAAAACTCACTGTTTCTTAAGAGCTAAAAAGAATTATTTATTAGATGATTATCAAAAATAAAAAAATATTTTACCATTATTTTACTATTACCTCAGCAGATTCAAACTCGCAGCCACAAACTGAACAGTTAAGATGCTGCTGTGAGATATGTGTTCGCATATGAGCACCAAAGGTGGCCAAATTGGGAAGTTCTAGGTTGCATAGCTGACATATCAACAAATTATACTTTTCGCAAAGCGCCGCTCTAGATGGCTGAAAATTTTGATTTACTAACTTTGTTTCGTCCATTTTTATCTACAAAGATTCAATTATTATAAATCAGTATTCCCAAAAGAAAAATTCAAACACTGTTCAGAACGGAGTCATCAGCTAACAATGACTTTAAAGCATTGTCTGTTTTTCTTAGTGTCTTTTAAATCCACTGAAGAATAATGCTTAAGCTTTTTTTTATTAAGCAAGCGAACACTAACCATATGCTCTAATATTGTATGCCTTTGTAAGGAGCACACATCATAAAAAATTTTTGAACACAATGAGCACGACAGGTCAATGTTCTCTGATGCCGATGTTGACTGTGCACAAGAAGGATCCTGCTTTTCGCATGATTTTTCACCATCTAATTTTCTGTAAAAAAATACAAAGTTTTTTACCAAAATTGATTTTTAATCAATTTTTTGAAGATTACTCGCCGAAATGCTGCAAAACACTGTCTTCTTATCAAAAACAAGATTTTAGCATAAGAAGATTTTTCATATTATAATTAAACAGA